ATAAGCTTAAGGAGTCATTTTTATTACATTGATATTTTCTTAGATTGCTTGTGTGGGACTGTAACTCCACAGTTTTCTAGTGGCTTTAGTTTTACTTACCGTTATAATTAATTTTGGAGATAGAAGACCAACCATTTCATACTTAAGGTAGCAAAATCTACCCCCAGCAAAGAACAAGGGATTATAAAATTGGGCTAGCTCACAATTTGCTGAAATTAAGGTATCAAATTGCCTCAGAGGTCCCTAACATTGTCAACCTGGGTGGAGGTACAGAGGCAGGATACAGTTTGAAACAATATAACGTATACAACATTTGGTGGCACAGGATCGCTTTTCTTTTGTTAAAGACTTGCGAAGATAGGCAGCAGAGACTCTTTTGGTTATGTTCGTACAGCATGTTAACACCTGGCTTCATGGTTTTCTAAATTAATCTGTTTGGCTGAGTTCACACAACATACAAAAGTGAAGTGTACTGCTAGGTTTGTACACACACTGAGACACTGCATAGTCATGGAGTCATGCTTTTAGCCTAATGGGTTGTGCAATCCCAGACAGAGAGTTGATGTCACTCCTGCTTTTTCAGAACCCCGACTCCTCTCAGTTCTCCTGGATGTATTATTGTGGCTGCAATTCTGTGCACACTTTTCAGGAAAGAAGTCCCATTAACTGTCGCAGTATGCACAGAATTGCATTGTTAGTCCAATTTCCTGGCAGCAGCAAAGGTCTGATTCCATGGAAAGTTGTATGCGTGCCCACAATTGTTTTCCTTGTACTTGAATGGAAGAGACCCCTTTAGAGAGTTCCACAGGTGTCATAACTTTTATTCAGCAGTAGCTTCCTTCTAATCAGGATAGGTATACCATCAGTTATCTTTCTTTCTTTCTTTCTTTCTCTCTCTCTCTCTCTCTCTCTCTCTCTCTCTCTCTCTCTCTCTCTCTCTCTCTCTCTCTCTCTCTCTCTCTCTCTCTCTCTCTCTCTCTCTCTCTCTCTCTCTCTCTCTCTCTCTCTCTCTCTCTCTCTCTCTCTCTCTCTCTCTCTCTCTCTCTCTCTCTCTCTCTCTCTCTCTCTCTCTCTCTCTCTCTCTCTCTCTCTCTCTCTCTCTCTCTCTCTCTCTCTCTCTCTCTCTCTCTCTCTCTCTCTCTCTCTCTCTCTCTCTCTCTCTCTCTCTCTCTCTCTCTCTCTCTCTCTCTCTCTCTCTCTCTCTCTCTCTCTCTCTCTCTCTCTCTCTCTCTCTCTCTCTCTCTCTCTCTCTCTCTCTCTCTCTCTCTCTCTCTCTCTCTCTCTCTCTCTCTCTCTCTCTCTCTCTCTCTCTCTCTCTCTCTCTCTCTCTCTCTCTCTCTCTCTCTCTCTCTCTCTCTCTCTCTCTCTCTCTCTCTCTCTCTCTCTCTCTCTTTCTTTCTTTCTTTCTTTCTTTCTTTCTTTCTTTCTTTCTTTCTTTCTTTCTTTCAGTCACTTCCCAGAACTGGCAAGAGAATGTTCGTCAGAAGATTTCAGGTAAATAAATATGGAATTGTTGCAATTGTCACTATAGACAGTTGGATGGCTCAGGTGGACAACATTAGGCACTTTTGGGAGAGGCACTGCTCTTGGGGGGTTTTTTGAGGTTGAATGATGGGAAAGCATACATGGAGGAAGAACCCTGGGGAAAAAAAGAGGACCTGTATTTCTTTATGGCAGCCTCCCCCAACTTGAGGACTTCAGATATGTTGAATTTCAATTCCCAGAATCCCCCATGCTGGCTAAGAGATTTTGAAATCTGAATTCAACCTAACTGGAAGACAGTAGGTACAGAAGCAGGTATATGCAATGAAATATGCCATAGAGTGAAAGGGGACATAACTCTGAAAACAAAAGCTTGTAAAGTTAGGAAAGCTTGCTTATCATTGGAATTATTCTTCTGATAAAAGGCAGATAAATATATCTGGTACTTGGTTATTAGACTGATCATTGACAATGCCATAATACATGAGGCTGTATTCAATAGAAATACACCTGTTCAGGTATCTTATCACCCCTTTTATTATATTCTTAGCCAGCTTCCGCCTTCTACCAGTGAATCTTGTGAATTTGATGATCCAAGACTTCTGCAGAACATTGAGACTGATCATGTAAGGCCTTTCTTTAGAATTTCTCCATGAATTATTCCTAGAATAGAATCTTTATTGCAGTCAATGACCAGTCCATAAAACACTTGGGTACATAAAACTAATGAATTATTCAGTTGTGGCCTCAGTACCTTTCTTCTATGATCTAGAGCATATGGCACTCTAAACTATGGCATAGTTCTACCTAGTGTGATGTACTACTTGGGACCATGGGTTAACTCTGGTTAATGAAAAGTACTCTTATCACAACTTTACTCTTAGTTTGCTGTAACTCAGTTTACCTTAGCCATGGCCTTTGTGTCTTCTGAATTGGGATAAAGGTATTAACTTCTCCTTCTGGCCTCCACACATAGAAACAAGAAGCAGGCGTGGCCACAAATGGTGCTGTTCCATCTGTGTTGTTCCTTTCTCCTTTGTTTTTGCTTTCTTAAGTATACCGGGAAATGAAATTAAAAAATCAAGAGGGTGGGGAAAAGTTCAGACGCAAATATGATTGGGATTCTGGCTGATGTAGATGATGGCCAGCAAATTGCAGTTGGCTGTGATTTGCTATGTCATCTGATGCAGTATCTGTGGGTAAATACCGTACCTATGATTTGCCTTAAGTCAGGCTTAGTGTGTTACAGTATACAGTGGTACCTCAGGTCACGAACGCTTCTGTTCACGAACAATTCGGGTCACGAACAGCACCGTTCGCAAAATTTTGCTTCTG